TTCTCTACATCAGCAATAATCAATTAGAAATCACAGCATCAAACCAAACATAAGGTATCTAGGACTTGACTTAACTGAGAAGAAATAAGACTTGAGCATAAATAACTCCAGTAGGGGCGCCTGGGTGGCTCAGTCGTTAAGTGTCTGCCTTCGGCTCAGGTCATGATCCCAGGGTCCTGGGATCGAGCCCCACATCGGGCTCTCTGCTCAGTGGGGAGCCTGCTTCTCCCTCTCCTACTCCCCCTGCTTGTGTTCCTTCTCTTGCTGTGTCTCTGTCAACTAAATAAAAAACTCCAGCAGAGAACACTGAAGATGATCTGAACAAATGGAAAGATACTCCATGGCTTTGACTGGGATGACTTGGTGATGTCTGTCAATTACCCCACCCCTCCAACCAGTGAACCTGTAATTTCAATAAAATGCCAACCCGAAGTCCACCTGGGTTTTTTTGAGGAGTTCAATAAACTTACAAGGTGAGAGGAATGTCCATGAATAGTAAACTCAGCTTTAAAAAGAAATAGAAAAAAGAAGGGAATCTACTGGATCAGACCTTAAATCCTACCACAAAGCCAGAGCAATAAAGACCACACGGTCAAAGTCTAGGAACAGACCAACTGACCAAGGAGAGCAGAAGGGCACATTCAGAAATAAGCCCATACACACACACATACACACACCCACACATACACAAACACACTTTAGTAGGGGACTTGATATACGATAAAGCAGCCACCACAAATCAATGGAGAGAGGAAGGCTGTTGAGCAGATGCTTCCAGGGAACCAAAGAAAAATAAAACTAGATCCCTAACACCACATGCAAGAGTGCACTCTAGATGGAATACAGACCTACCTGAGAAAGGGAAAAGCACGTTGTTAGAAGAAGAAGCCACAGGTGAATGCCTGTGTGACCTGGAGATGACCGGTGGGGGTGGGGGGGTAGTGGTGGTGCAGATTTTTAAACAAAGGGTACAAACCAAGAGGCAAATAAAAGTTTTATGACGTAAAAGATAAGGATTCTTATTTAATGTTATGAAGGATATTGTGGACAAAATTAAGAGGAGTACATAATGGTAAAAATATTTCTAGTATTGGGGTGCCTGGGTGGCTCAGTTGGTTAAGCGACTGCCTTTGGCTCAGGTCATGATCCCGGAGTCCCAGGACTGAGTCCCACATCGGACTCTCTGCTCGGTGGGGAGTCTGCTCCTCCCTCTGACTTCTCCCCTCTCATGCTTTCTCTCTCATTTTCTCTCTCAAATAAATAAATAAAATATTAAAAAATATTTCTAGTATTTATGGCCAACAGAAAATTCATTTCCAGAATGTACAAGGAAATCTTAAAAGCAGTAAGACACAGTAATAGACAAAAATAGACAAAAGGGCCAAAAGATACAAAAACTGATAATTGATAGAAGAGGAAAAGCCAAAAGGGCTTGAGAATATATTCAAAATCGTTAAGAATCAGATCAAATGGGACCAAAAAAGGAAGACATTTCACTTATACTTATCAGTCTAGTCAAAAAGAAAAAAATAACCAAACCAAAACCAGAAGAGAGCTGGATGATGCCAAGAAGGCAGGGTGTGGAAATAAAGGAACCCACGTGACTATCAAAGGAGTGTGGGTAGTATAATTGAACAGAAAGAATGAAAATAAATTGAATGATTATTCAACTCAAAAAAGAAGAAACAGAAAGAGAAAATTTCAAAATAAAGCATCATAATTATAAAGAAATATAGAGATGAAAGTAGAACCTAAATAAAACCCAGAAAAATGAGGGATTTCTAAGTAAAATTGAGTGACTTGAAAAGGCAATACACATACAAACATGGTCCACTGCCGAGCTCCACGTGGGGAATGGGAAAGGCCAAAAAACCTTAGAAAGGGAAGACTTTAAAAGGGTAACAACCTTCCAAATGCAAATGTGTTTTATGAATTAAAAATCTGTGTGGGAGGGGCTCAGTGGGTTGGGCCTCTGCCTTTGGCTCAGGTCATGATCTCAGGGTTCTGGGATCAAGCCCCACATCGGCTCTCTGCTCAGCGGGGAGCCTGCTACCCCTTCTTTCTCTGCCTACTTGTGATCTCTCTCTGTCAAATAAATAAATAAAATCTTAAAAACAAAATCTGTGTGGGATGGGTTGCTTTTCTGTTAAAATATACATCATAATTTTTGACTTTAGAATTAATTCAGCCAACAAGTATTTATGGAATAAGCAGTATATGCCAGTTTTTAAATAAATAGAAAATTTGAACTGACCAATAACCATAAAAGAAATGGAGGCAAAAGTTGTCCTAAATAATATATTACAGTGTAACATTTATAGTACAATAGAGTATTGATTCATTCAACAAATAATTAAGTGTCCTCTAAGGTTCTAGCATTATGCTAGTGTGCTAGGGTGCTGGGGACACAATCGTGAGTAAGATATTTAGCTTGGGGGATGATGCCATCTCCTGAAATGATGGAGACAGGTGGAGGGTCCCGCTTGGAGAGAAGACCCGGGGCTGTGGTTTGGACATGTTAACTTGGCTACACCTAGGAGATGTTCAAGTAGGAGTATCAACTTAGGCAATTGTTTTAAGAGCCTGGAACTCAGCAGAGATGAATGTGAGGGCATCCTTCCCCGAGAAGCAGTGTCTATAGCCAAGGGGCCAAGGGCCAAGATTGAAACCCCAGCAATTGCGTCCTTAGTCACCCAGCCTCCACCAGTAAGGTTGCCAAAATCCAAAAGAAAATACCGCCAAACTGATTTTAACAGTTTAGTTAAAGAAGGATACACTGTGACCAATAAGGATTATTTTAGGAATGCGAAGATGCCTCAATTGGAAATCCACGAATAGGTTAAGATGACAAAATGCTAAGATTCTGTGGAGATATCGAAAAATTTTCAATTAAAATCAGCTTCCATTCTTGATTTTTTAAGCTTAAGCTATTAACGTTTCTCTAGAACTAGCAGGCAGTCCCTTTCCATCAAGAATTGCCCCCACAAATGCACGGCCTATATCCTATCTTAATGGAAGAAGGAAAGGCATCCCAACAGTGTAATGAACAAGACAAAAATGCAAGAAGGTGCTGTTATTTTTGATTGTTATGGAAGTTTCAGCCAATTACATCTCCTATTTGGAAAATTGGCCCAAAATGTCTTAGAATAAATAAGTGAGCTCATTAGGGTGGCAGTTTTTGCAATCCATATATAAAAACCCAGCAAGTCCCCAAATTAATTATAATTAGTGAGAAGATTTAGCACAGATGCAAACATTCCATCCATAATGTTCCATATTGCCATTCCATCTATAATGGCAATAAAAAAATTTTTATAGCATCTAGGATTTAGCCTAAAAAGAAATAGGACTTTTATGAGGAAAGCTAAGGAATTTTACTGAGAGACATAAAAAGGAAGACTAGAAAACAAACAAACAAACAAACAAAAAGCCAAAACAAACCAAGCCATGCAATGTTTTTGTTTGGGAAAACCAATACTGAAAGATACCAATTTATCTTCAAATAATCCATCAAATCAACACACTTTCAGTCAGAATTCAAAGGGGATTTTAAAGGACATGATGAAATGATACTCAAAATTAAGAAGTCAGAAAAAAAAATCACTGAACAGGAAGAAAACCTAGGGCATGCTCGGCCTGTCAGCTATCCGGATACATTGGAAAGCTACATGAGGCATTGTAAGGATCACATGGCATTGTATGAACAATGGCAGAGCAATGGAGCTTGACAGAAGGTACCAGAAAGATCCACAGATTATCACCCTGTTCATCCTATTCCCATTTACACATGAGCTGGCAGGAACTAGCTTAATGGTCGAGCGCCAAGGGCTGAACTTCTAATACTTAGAACATGTTATAACTTGAAACTTAACTAGTTAAATTGGGAACTGGCACCAGCTTCTCCCACCGCCCATAGACCCCAGGAAAATTCCCTGTTTTTCCAGGGCTAGGTAGAACCTTGTCATGTTTTAATCTTTTTGAGGACACTGCCCCTTAAAGAAGGCAAGCCATACAACATTTTGCAGAACATTTTGGGATGTGGGGTTGCACTGGTGCCCTGATGCCCTGGATTGAACAGGGCAAAGGACCGCAGAACATTTTGGGATGTGGGGTTGCACTGGTGCCCTGATGCCCTGGATCGAACAGGGCAAAGGACCGCCAACCTGGTCTGTCATCAGAATGACCAGAAGAGCTTTTTCAAAAGCAACATTGCTGCAGCCTATCCTGGACCAACAGCCTGTGAGTGTCCAGCAATGGCATCTGGGGATCGATAAAAGCTTCTTAGGGGATTGCACTCCTAACCAGGCTTCAGAACTAGGGCCTCAGGAACACAACACTGAACCACATTTACAATGCTTCTCATGAAAGAGCACACTTCCCTGGAAGTGATCACACGATAGTTTAGCAGTAGTAAGTAGAACACAGCTAAAGAAAAAGGATTAACAAACTGAAGGGAGAAAAACAAATGCTCCCCACTGTAAACGCTGGCAAGCACGGGATTCACTTCAGGATTATTCTACAATATACAGCACCATCCCTGGGTCAGATGCCAGTGCGATGTGAATGCTTAATACACAGCCGTGCACAGCTGATACAGTTGCTTTGGGAGAGGAAATAAGATCCTAAAGGCAGACTAGAACAGGTAGGATAAAACTATAGCTTCAAAAACCTTTCACCTCCTAAAACCTTTTGTCAGCTGGTAAACAGTCACCTTCAGCGTTAATCTGGCACAGAAACGTTACGTGATTATTATTATATTATTTTTTAAATGGCTGCTTCCTTACGTAATTCAGCCTGATTGCAGGGAAAGCTGTGACCATTTCCTGGCAAAATCAAGGTGATTTTGCAAGGATGACAGAATGGCTAGGAGTTACATACATAGACCCCAGCGGCCTCCGAACAGGGGCCTGTGATTGCGGCCGTTCCAGAGTCTTATTTTCTGTGACAGTTGGAGACTATTCAACCATCAGAAGGCCAAAGAGATTCCACAGGGTACGTACATCTGTCGTGGCTCCGCTGAGCTGGAGTTGTGTCTCTGAGAAGACAGACTGCTTCGGTGTGGCTGAAACAGTTCTGTTTCCGAATATACTCAGGAATCCTTAAAAACAGCCACAAAAAAAGAAAAAACTAGAATGGATAAATAAATCTAAGAACTGATTCCTTAAAAGAAAAACCTAATAGATACATTACTAAACCACTAATAAATCTGTTCAAGAAGAAAATGAGACAATATTTGAAAAAAATGAGGTCATATAAAAAAAAACAGCAAACAGGACACAGAGAAAATGGTGGGTCTGTATCATTTAAAAAATTGAGATATGTGACCTGTTTTAAAAAATTGCATTATTTAGTAAAAGCAACGTACCAAGAAAAAAAAGGAACGTGAAAATCACCTCTCACTTCTATTAAAATGCCCATTTTTTGGTGCTTTTCCAAAAATTTAGATTATCCACACATGCATTCTCATTTGAGTAAATAGTTTAGAAAAGTGCACTCTGACTTGTCAGTTTTCCCCAGATATCAGAGGCTCCAAAATCATGACTCTTAATGGTCACATACTGCTCCTACCACTTACTAGGCCATGATTTTCTGAGCTACTGCTCTGCTGTTGTACATTTAGGTTGCTTCCCAGTTGGTTCTAATTTTAGATCATTCTGCACCAATGTGTGCCTGCATATGGCTTTTTGTTGGTTTGTTTGCTTCCATCGCAGGTAAATGTTTCTTCCATTGCAGGAAAATCCCCAGGGGTAGGGTTTTCTGGGTCACCACTTCTAACTTCTTAGTGCATTGCCAGATTGCTTTACAAAAAAGTGCATAGTACTTCACAATATCCCCTGAACAGGAAAAGAATAAAGGAATACACACCAATGGGCAGTTTCACCTAAAGTTAATTTTGGCAACACACTGGGAAGTAGGTTTCACTTCCTCTATTTTATGAATGGACATGAGCAGGATTAGGAAATTAGGTGACCTGCAGGAAGTCACAAAATCAGTTGCAGCTCCATCTTTCTGACCCCAACACCCCACAGCATCCCCAGATAACTGAATATGCAAGTTTCATGGCAACTGTCTCATAGGGGTTGTTACTACTACTGAGATCGTTTTTGTTCATTTAATAGATGTGAAATGATAATCGGCTTGCTTCCATTTGCATTCTATTCTGCAAATGGTTCATCATTTCACCATTTATCTGTTATACAATTTATCTATTATAATCTCTCACTTTCCTTTTACATGTACGAAAAATTTGTGTCAGATACAAAAAGATACAAATCGCATCCTAGCTCTCCGCTTTTTTCCCTTTCCAGCTAGTTCTTTTTCATTTTAAGAGCTCCTCGGTGGCCACGTAAGTTAAATTGTTCATTTTCACCCATGATTTTTGTTTTTCTTCTTAACAACGTCTGAGAGAGTTGTTCATTTTTCCAGCAGTCTGACCTTCTGTATTCAACTTTCTGTTCCTATTTTTTTCCGGTAATTAGTAAAAATCTTTACTCCTATTCCACCTGGAGTTTTTCACAAGGAAAAGGGAAGCACCTCAAATGCTCGGCATGTGGGGAACTGCTTATTAAGCCGTGATGCTCTATGTGAAAGAAAAAAACGCAGCCATGAAGATAATCATGATCCGGGGCAGGAGACATGTGTCCCCGGGGGGCCAGGCACCCCAGGGCCCCCGAGAGGGAGAAGGCGGCGGCTCCAGGCCCCAGACCGCAGAGGCCCGAGGCCCCGCCCACGCCCGCCCGCTCCGGGGCTGATCCGCGGAGGGCTAGACGGGTGCGGCAGCCTCTCGAGAGGAGTTCCCCGGCAGATGGGCCCCCACGCGCCCTCCTCTCCCGCCGCGGCCCCGGCCCGGGGCGGGCGGCCGCTCTCCCATCCCCACTCCGACACCCTCGGGGCGTCCCCGTCTTCCGCCTGCTGGCTGGGAGGGCGGCCAACGCGCGGGCGGCCGGGAGCCCCGCGACCCCACGGCTCGTCTCCCCGGACCCGCTCGCGGCCCTCCGTGGGTTCCCCAGCCGCGTTCGCGCGAGGCGATCGCCCCCTACTTCCCCCGACCTTCGGCCCTTCCGGCCGCGGACCCGCGTTGGGGAGGATCAGACCTCGCGGCCATCCCTCCCCACCGGCCAGGCCAGCCGCTCCCCCCGCCCCCAGGCCCAACCAGAAAAGCTAAACCAAGAGGCGTCCCCCCTAAACCAATGCGCACCCTGGGGCAGGCCGGACGCGCCACGCGCCCTCAGGGAAGCCCCCCCTCCCCTCCTCATGGCCAAGGTCGGCCCCCGGCCCTAGAGCCCGCGGCTCGGGCCCTCGGGCTCCGCGACGCCCCCGCCGCCCCCCAGAGCTCCGGACCCCCGCCCGCGCCCTGCGCTGGGAGTTGAAAAGGCCATCGGGCTGTTTACCTGCCGCCTTAGGAGAGGAGAAGCTCGCCGCGGCCGAGCTGTCAGCGACTGGCGCGGAGGCGAGCGACAAGCCCCGCCCAGGGGGAGGGCCGTGGGCGGGGCAGGGAGGTGGCTGAGCTCGAGGCGGAGGTCTGTTCGCGAACCAATGACCGCGCGGTCTCGGCTCGTGTGCTCCTGCGGGTTCTGGCCCACGCGGAAAGGTGCACCCCTCCCAAGCGGGCCCGGGCGTCTGAGTCGCCCAGTGGAAACGTGTTGGGATTCGCTTCCACACTCTCACCGGCTGATACCGCCTCCTGGTGTCATCACTCCTTGATGTTGCTCATTGACTGTAAAATCATCTTTAAAAAAAAATTCGGCCCGAAGCCCCAACTCTCCCGTTACATAATGGAGAAAATGAGACGTTAGGGAATGAGAAGGCAATTTCTGGAACTTTGGTAGCCAGAAATTTCTGAAGAGGAAAAAGATTTTTTCTACCTTGGATTGAGCCCAGGGTTCATGAATTTTCACATAAGTTCTTACAAGTGGAGGCCTAGGAAGGACGTTGGCCATCACTGTTCGTTCATTGACTCAGTCTCTGCTCCTTATTTTGTGCAAAAGAGATTATTTAGACTAGACCTCACAAATGAGGAAAATGTCCTCCACTTAATAATGTCCGCTCACGTTACCTGAGGTACCTTGTATAAAACAGAATGGTATGCTCTGGCCCGTTATTCCTGCTAAGAAATTAGGTAGGGGTTTATAAAGGATGGCCTGGGATGAAGGGATAGAGGGACGGGAACTGGGGTTTGGGGAACTGTCTAAATTATTACCCAAATCAGGGCACTTGTAAAGTGAAAAGAGACACCAGTGTGAATTAAGTGGGCGTAAACCAAGATTGTCCTGGGAAAAATGGGACATCTAGTCCCCTTGTTATCAGCAAGGGGGTCCACTAAGCTTGTAAGAAAAGAGGTTTAAAAATATTGAGACACCTGTTGGAAACGGGATTTAGATTACACACCTATATTCCCTGGTGGATCACTCAAGTGGGAGGGGGCTAAAGGGCAGGAAGGGGAAAGCCAGAGAATAGAGAGAATGTGAAACAGTGCAGGGTGATGTTTATGTGAATGTGGGTGGGTAATTGAAAGGTCAGCTGGGAAGGGGAAATGATAGGTCTGGAAAACATGGATGGCTAGCCCATGGGGTGATTCAGTAAGAGACAGCTGGATTTGGGCCAGTTAGAAAGGAACGTTAAGCAACAATACTGTGGCTGTTTTCTATCCATTCAGTCTTACATGATGAATAGGTTGACAGTACTTTTCAAGCCTTAACTTCTTTCCTTGGAAATGGCTTATTGCCAGGTGAACTGGGGGAGGGGGAGGCAGAGAAGCATCTCCCTGAGTCTTAAACTGGGCTGGAGCCAAGAGTTGGTGACCAGATCAGATGGGGAAAAGGTCAGGCTTCCCCCTGGCAGGAGGGACTCTATAAAGCTTGGTTAGAAGACCCTGAAACTCAGCCTTTTTTTTTTTTTCCTCAAAAAGATCCTATGTCTACTGACCAAATGTTCTCCCAGCAGGAGAACTCAAAGCCACAGCATTTCTTGGAGGGATTAGGGAGCCAAAGCAATTGCCTTATGTCCTAATCTGACTATTGTTGCTATGTAGCAACTACCCCTAAAACTTAGTGGTTTATAACCATCACCATTTACTAATACCCATGGATGTGCAGGCCAAGGACGTGGACGGGCACAGCAGGGACATGGTTTCTCCCATGATTTCTGAGGCCGCAGTTGGGAAGACTCAGAATCTGATGGAGGTTGGAATCCCTGGAAGGGTCTTTCACTTGCATTCCTGGCACCTGAGCAGAGGAGACTTGAAGATCACGTGTGCTTATTGGAATGCCTACACGTGGCTTCACCACACGGCCTGGCTTTCCCCTAGCCTGCTGGTTTCAGGTTTGAAGGACTTCTCACGTGGCTTCTTAGGATGTGAGAGTTCCAGCAACAACATGGAAGCTGCCTAGCTACTTCCCACCTAGCCTTCCAAGTCACAAACATCACTTCCACTGTATGCTATTGACCAAAGTAGTCGTATATCCAACCAGATTCAAGGGTGGGGGACATAGACCCCCCTTCTCAATGGAAAGATTGTCCAAGAATTTGGGGCCATTTTTTAAAACTGCCATAATGAGGTTGGTAGTCTGGCTTATAGATTCTTAGAGGCTTTCATTGACCTCATGAACAGCACCGGGGGGTAGGGAGCCCACAGGAAGAAGCTTTTGCAAATGGCCCAACATCATTCCTATCCCAGCCTCATTCAGGATTGCCTCCCCTATCACGACAACTATCATGCCCCATTATGAACAGGGAAGGTCCTTCTCTGAACTGGTGGGGAATGGAATTTAAGGTTTGTTCTCTGGGGCTTCCTCTTGCGACCTCTTGGGCACCTGCTGTGCTGAAGTTCACAGCACCGTGAAATGCTTTGAGAATCTCCCTTTGCATCCATCTCCTGTGTCCTGACTAGAAGGTATTGGTCAATGTCACATAGATCCTTCTCAGCAAATACAGAGAAGTTAAGGAAGTCAAAGTCTCAGTTCACTTATATGCAAAGGAGAATTATTTTATTCAACAAATAATTTATAGAATGCATAGTGTGAATTATATAGTTTGAGTCTCTGACCTCAGACACCAGAGGGAATTCAGGAAGCCACATAGAAAGTGACCAGGTCATGCAGGGCCAAAGAGCCCATGACAAGGTGTTTAGATTTTAATCAAATGTGATAGAAGCCCTTGGAGATGGAGCAGGGAAATGAAATGACCTGATTTAAGTTCCAAAAAGACCACTGTGGTTGTTGCGTGGGGCCTGATAGGGCAAAAGTGGAAATGGGTCCTGGCAGGTGGCTTTTGCCATGGTCCAGGGGAGTGAAAATGGTGCTGGATCTAGTGTGGTAGCAGAGGAGATACTTCTACCTGAAATGGGAATGAAACCACAGAAGACCCAGTTTCACAGACAACAGGTTTTAGAGAAGTTCCTCCTATTTGGGATGCATTGAATTTGAGATGCCCATGTCACCCCCAGAGAGGTACATCTGGAGATTCTGGAGCTTGGGTGGGTTGGTGCCGAAGATGTGCATTTGGAAGTTACCAGTATATAGATCATGTTCAAAGTCATGGGCTTGGATGATAACATCAAGGGAGAATGTGTAGCCAGAGAGAAGAGGCATCTGCTGTGAACGGCCAGCAACCCTTGTGGTTTTCCATCAGCGGTTCTCCGTGGCTCCCGTGTGAGTCACCTGGGCCCCACCCCAAAGATTCTGAGGAGTAGGTTTGGGATGGGGTGGTTCCCAGATACTGCTGCTGAGTCACACTTTGAATTGAAGGAAGAGCAGCGGGCAAGATAGACTGAGAAGGTATGAGGAACCAGGAAGGTCCCAGAAGCTGAGAGCGGAGAGTGTTTCAAGAAGGCAGGAGTCAGTTCCTGACACCAGACAGAGTGGTGACCGCAAAGTGTCACTGAATCTGGTGACATGGAACTTGTTATTGGGGGCTTGATGGGAACAGTTTCAAGGGAGAGGTGGGGACAGAAAGAAATTAGAGAGGGACTAAGTCACAGGGATGAAAGGCACAGCACAGAGAATATAGTCAATGGTGTCATAATGGCGGTGTTGGCGACAGATGATGGCTATGCTCGTGGGTAGCACAGCAGAATGTACAGACTTGACAATCAGGCTGTTGTACACCTGAGACTAATGTAACGTATGTCAACTCTGCTTCAATTAAAAAAAATTTTTTTTAAACTAAAGGTGAGGTGATAGAGACTAGACAACTTTTCAGAGAACTTTTACTGTGAGGGGAACCGAGCAAAGGGCAGTAGCTAGAGAAGACGGTGAGCATAAAGTGGGTGTTTCAAACTCCTCTCTAACCATGAAGGTCCTCTCCAGGACTTGTCTCGAGTCCTCAAAAACCTCGCTCCTTCCCTCTTTCGCTTCTGCCCTCCCTAGGCTGGAGTCACAGGGCAGCAGCAATTTGAGGCATTGCGTGAGAAGTCACCAGAAGCAGAGCAGGATGAAGGCCTGTTTATGTGGTCTTCTCTCCTCTTGGGAGTGAGGAGCATTTTCTCTCAAGAGAATGGATCATGAATTTGAAGAGGAAACATCATGCTGCTGCCACAGGACAGAGTGGCTCATGTTTCTCCACTCTTGCAACATATTTCTTGTTTCCTTGACTGCTAGATTCTAGGGCTTAGGGTTTATAAAAGGCACTTCCCACATTCTGATGGCGCCTCTCCCTGCATCCCCCTGGGGCTGTGGTCCTGCGGGGTCACTGCCCTGTGGAAAATCTGCTCAGGCAGTTCCCTCAACCCCTCAATTCCCTCAAGGAATTCTTCACCACCCTCTGCTGGGAAGTTCAAGCTTAGATGGGTTGTCCCCCTGGGAAATGTTCCTACATCTTCTCTCCGCACCCCTCCCTCCCTCATGCTCAGCTGCCTACCAGTATCCAGCCCTGTTTTGATCTGTCCTAGTATTTATCTGTTGGTTTTTAGCAAGGTTATAAAAATCTTGGGAGGAGAACCTCAGGACCTTGAAGAAGGGAAATCAGTTAAACATTATCCTGACTGAGTGTTACCTTCTCCCATTTGCTCTGATCACTCTGGTTCCCATTTCCCTTTGGCTCCAACAGAATTTTCGCATCTTTCTGTCCAGCTATGCCCAAGGTAACCCAGCTTCCCAAACCAATGTTTAGTGTCACCTAGAATCTTTGCCACACTTGGGTCCTTCAGTTGTTTTTTTCTGTGTCACAGATCTGACAGAACTCACTGTCTGATTTTGTCAGCATTTCTTTGTCTCCCACCCCAAGCCTGGCTTCTGACTTGTTCCATTGTTCTGGAAACTGGAGCTTTCCTGTGTTTCTACTGGCAGTTCCTTCCCCATTGGTAATCTTTCTCATCACTGGTGAAAATGATTCTAATATCCAATTCCAGTGTGTGTGTGTGTGTGTGTGTGTGTGTGTGTGTGTGTGTGTGTTGTGTTCTGTTATGGGGGGGGGCTGGTTTCCTCCCACCACAAAGCAATTGT